TTTTCTGGTATGCCAAAAGACTTTGCTTGTTATTTTAGTTTTTATTCCCAGGAAGACATCACGTGAGTGAAACATATTTAAAAGAGAATTATAATTTGTTTACTTATCACCTATATTTAACAGATATGTGTTTCTGATGTCCAAATAACGAAATTAAATATAGAAATTTACATTTTGTTTTTAGCTTTTTCCTAGAACTTGGTGCCTCTATCTTGGCTACCTGTCAATCATTGTTATATGTTTTACACATTCAGACACAGACAGTAGAGGGATAAGAACCAGGAACAATGTTACTGTTTCTCCTCCACCAATGCAATGTGTACCCTGGCTGCTTTGGTCTAAACATTAAAGTCCACTTTGCAATTCTTCAGCATTTCTAGAAGACGCTACTGCTATACTGAGCATCACTATACCCAAAATACTGCTGAGCTTCGATGCCAAGTCAAACTTTACAGCATTATTACAGATTACTCCGAATCACTTAAGTCTGATAACATAGACAATAGTAATCAATTTTATTTATAAATTTATATGGATAATGGTGGACAAATATAGAGCCAAAAATTCTGGTACGTAACGGATTAAAAAAAATGAAAATCCCATTTTATTCAGAAAAGAAATCTGCTGAGCAAATATCAGAATATTTCTGCAAAGAATAAATCATAGCTAAAACTATTAGTGGCAAAAATAACATTATATTATCATAAGATAGAACCAAAAAAAAAAAAAAAAAGAATCTACAAACTTGTCCCCTGTTCCCCATGCTGGGTATGGTATGTCATCAAGCTGAGAATTTGGCAACATTCGACAGTCCGCTATTATTCACTGCTCTATCATACTAATTTTTCCAGACAATTTCCTTGGCTTTTATATGAATACAATACATTAATGGGTACTTATAATCAAAAGAGAAGTTTCTGGTTCACTGGGGAGATGGAGTGTGTCTGATGTGGCCGTTTAGTTTCTTTTATTTTTTTTAATTTTTTATTTTATTTACTGTGACATTTGAAGTATGTTCTAGGAATAATGCAAACGGGCAGCTGCTTAACCACCGAACTGCCATGATTTTGGGATCCCGTGCCACGCTGTGGATTTAATCTCTGAGTGCCATGGCTTTATGCTTCTGGTACTTTAAGGTCACGCAGGTGCAAATAAACTAATATTCTTAGAGGAAGGGTGAACACGTTTCTTTTTTATTATGAAATGTTGTGAATACGTAGAGCAATTCTCATTTCTTGTGTCTTATGATATTACATAACTGGCTGGTCTTAATTCAAAAGGGATTTTGATTTGACTTTGTTTATGAACGAACAACTGAATACTGGAATTAATTCCTTCTACGATTACCAGACATTTTTTTTGAAAAAACTAATTTTTGCACATGTGTAGTTATCACTGTAAGCTACATATATATATATATATATATATATATACACACAATTATACAATTATATTATAATATATATATATAATTAGAAAAATTTACTAACAATTAACACACACTTCATTAGTGCACGCCACCATCAAAGAGATACTGAAATATTGGTACATTTTTTGAAAGAAAGAGCCATATGACAGAGGTAAGGTAGGTGGGCAAGGCATTGACAGATAACCATGAGATAGAGTAGCTTTAGATAGATGTGTGTACAATAAGCGGGTGTGGGATAAATGAACACACTTTAATAAGTTGTGAGACAGACCAGGAATACAATAATTGTTTAAGATAAACAGTCACACAATAAATAGATTTGAGATGGATAGGCATAAAATAAATGTTGTAAAATAGGTGAGCATTATTGGTTTGAAATAAGTGGGCATTAGATGTGTTTGAAATAGATACCATGCGTAAACTATATGTCCATGAAATAAATGGTCGTGCAATAGATACTTATAAGACAGATAGGTTAATGATAAATATTTATAAGACAGATGGGGAGAATAGATGGACATGAGATAGATCTTAAAGAAAGCATGGTGGAAACCACTTGGATCAGGTCACACCACCTGGCCAACAGAAGGGTGTCCGACAAAGTTCTCCTTAGTAGCCTAGTGGTGCACTATAGTAGTGATCTGTTTTATTTCAGGTAGTAGAATTCAAAATAAAAAGGCACTAATCTCCTCCTACTTTATGCAATGCCTGTTTAGATTCGGGGCTAATGAGTCTGACATCCAGGGCTTTGGCCCATAAAACCCCTTCCCTGGCAACGGTAAATGAGCGTGGGTAAACCAAGTTCTCCTGCAAAACTATGTGGTCTGTGTGGCGGAACCAACCTCGCCACTGTCCACTGGAGAGGCCTGGTTGCTCGCCTGCTCCCTTTAGACTATGGTCCTGCATTTTGAACTTTGACTTTACCTGCAGAAAGGTTTATTTGTGCCTTTCTGTGGACTGTTAAAGCCAAGCTACCCCAGATAGCTATGCCATGGAGCCCAGCCGTATACTGAAAGACTGTATGAAAGATTTGGCTCCATGGCGATTGAACTGTATGTATGTGATCTGAGCACCATCCGGAAATAATGTGCGGTCAGATCTAAGCTATCTGGGGATAGGTAGAATGTGTATGTTCTATGTGATAAATGTAACAGTATGTATTTTTATGTCTTTTATTGTCCTTTGTCTGCCATGTGGCTAATGGAGTTTTGCCTCTGTCCTTGGTGATAATTGGGTTACTTCCCAATTATCTCCAGGATAGAAGACTATGTGGAACTGTTTTTGGGCAGAAAATCCATGCTTCATTTGGTCAAATAGGACTTTCCCTTAACTTTTTAACCCCTGGATGGAATTGGCTGAATTTTGGTTATGTTTATATTTAAAGTATGTTGATTCTGAATATGTATGTTTTATGTGAATATGATGCATATTTTTAAAGTTACCATGTATGTTTAAAAAGTGTATTTTTCCTGCCTGTGATAAATTACATTAACCCATTGTGTTCAGTAATGATATCACAGGCAGAGGGGAGGGATGTATGTTTGTGCTGGGTGTGTTTTACGGTTCTCCTGTAAATGATTGGTTGTACTGTGTCCCACCCTGTGGGATGTCCCCTTGCATGGGGACTTGAATAAAAGCCAGTATGTGGCCATTACAGTGGAGTTCCTGCTTAACCCTCAAAGTGAAGTGTCGTCTCATTATTGGGGGAGGATTTATTGTATGCTGTTCCAGTTTGACTGCTAGGAGTGTAAACCTATTCGCATGGTTTTTCCTATTCGGCTGTATACAACATTCATATGCTTAAAAGTACTCAAATGCTTCTCCGGTTCGGTGATTGTGGTGTCTGCTGCAGTGCTTGGAGTCCTCAGGAAACTCTAGGAGCATCCTTTAACGGAGGTACCCAGTCGGGTACCCAGTCGATCTGTTACAGTCTGAAATTCAGCTTGAGCCATCTGATTGAGGAAATTTCCACAAAGATTTAACATAGCCAGAAGAGAATAAAACACTGCAACGTTCTTAAAAATACCACTGTATGGACATCGTATCCAGGAGATCGAATGGGCAGTCTAATCACTATAACGGTGTTGTTAGACTACGGAGCCTGTCTTCTGATTCTGTGTCAGACCATTTCCGAACAATTTGTCCATATTTGTGGGCCCGTGAAGCACCGATGACACCGGCCCCTGCTAACATACTGTTAATGCCAATAGTGGATTAACAATATCAATTTCATCTATATATATATATATATATATATATTTTTTTTTTTATATTCTTTATTTTTATTATGCAATGATTGACATACAAGCTTGAGGTGCTACGATGGCAGTAACTAGCATACTATGAACATACATCTAAAGATAGTGTCACGGCATATGAGGAAATTGCACATTTTTATGGGTATAATAAGCAGGCTGAACTGTAGATCTAAACATAAGATCTGAGAGAGTACAAGCTTAATGAAAAGTAAGGTAGTGCATGAAGCATGGTATATGCTAGGTAGGAGTTAAGTAAAACTAAGAAAATCATAGTATAACATGCTAGTATTAACACTGGAGATATAATGCCACTGGGTACTCGTCACTAAATAGGTGTAGGTGAGTAAGAATATAGGAATCCATGCATTACAGATAGGATTAACCATGGTAAAAGGAAAATAAGACAAGATTAGCACAATGTTGTGTGGGTAACAAGATAAAACAGTGGAACATAATAATTGCACTGGGTGCCTGCATATACAGTGGTATTATCAGGCTAGAGTAGCTGACCTGGATACTGCTGTGTGTGGCCTGGTGTGGAGGGAGATCTGTGACAGAGTAAGACCCCGCATCTTCAGCCACCCAATGCCCATAAATGTCAGTACACAGTCCAGTTTAGTGGAGTGTCCAGTCAGGCGAGAGAGACAGAGACTATGTGCATGCTGCTGTGACAGCTGTCAGAGCTGCAAGGTTTTATCTGTCCCTGAAGAACCCGGGTAAGTGTAAGTGCGTGGTTTAGCATGCAGCATCACCTGGGGCAACGATCTTCCTCCATGTTGCTTTTCCATACGATGGATAAGATTCCTCCTAGGGTGTGAGTTGTGCCGATGGAACTGGTTGACAGCAGGAACGTGTCGGCAGTATCTAAAAGACTTCCTTCCGGGGGCGGGGCCGGACCACCAAGCTGGACGGTCGCAAGATGGACCAGCTTCAGCAAAAACTAAACCATTCAACCACAAAACTACGATTTTTGCCCACTATACCAACCAGCAACAGCGGCCCTTGATGGGCAGAGTGCACTGGACCCAGGGTGAGGCTTGCTCAACGAGTATTAGTCCCCTGGTGGAGAAATCTTCAATGCCAAAGTTGAGGCCTACTCTGACGGTGAGTGGAGCGGACGGCCGCTGCCCCGCTATCCTGCCGAACAGTGTCCAGCCAGGGGCTTAAACCTCGAGGAACCGGCTCTGTCCCCCCCCAGACCAGCGGGGGTGATCCCGGTCCTCACCCTGAAGCCCCATCCACTATAACAGGGACTGAGACTAAGGCTTAGCTGCACTGCCAAACTGCTCTGCTATCCAGGTGCAGACACTAAGATGGCGGAGACCGCTCACCACAGCCCCAAGATCTGGTGTATGAAAGCTGCCCACCCCACATACACCGCAACCAACGCGGATCAGCAGCAACAACTGATCAGACACCCACAAAGTCCAGCCACACGTACACATCCTGGCACCCTAACGGGACACCTTCCTCGGGTGACTCTCCTCAAGCTCCCGGCTCCGGTAAAGGGATGGACCAGCAACTGGCGGCAGGAAAAGGGGCACAGCAAGCCAAGCCAGCGCTCGCCCAAACTGCAGGGACCATCAGCCATCATTCTGCAACACGCCACCCTCCAGACGCATCGGGGTCCAGGTTCAATGAGCCGCATGCTGCACATCACTACCGGTCTGTCGTGCAGCACCTGTGAACCAGCCTCGCAGTAGTTGCAACACAGGCAGATCACCGGACAACAGCGGCCATTCTAGCCCGCCAGTCACTGGGAGTCAGATCCACGGGAACCGCCACATGCAGGACAGGAGAGTGGGTCAGCTCCAGGGTGTGGACCGGGATAACCTTCACCGGTCCAGAGGGGGGGAGGTAGGAGCAGGATGGGTCCATTCTGACCACCGGGGAGTGAGGAGAGCTGCCGCCTCCCTCCCCCTCAGCTGCCCGAAGGCCGCAAACCCCGTCCCGTCATGGAGCCTTGAGCCGCTAGCGATATTACTTCAGATGCGTAGTCCCAGGGGTTCTCGAGAGTGCACAGCTTGTGTGAGGACAGCTTAAAACAGTGTTTGGCGATTTAACCGGGTAAATTAGTGTTTCACCCCCGGAGCTCTGCCACGATGCGTCCAGCTAGCTCGGCAGTCAGGCTCCGCGCCCCCCAATTTCATCCATATTTTCATGGCACTGATAGGCATCATATAACGGTGCATGATAGGGCATGATTTAATTATGTTTTAATTATGAATTAAAAAGCTATACATACTCCTGATTGATGCCAGGTGTTAGATTGGCCAGAAATCAATTTGCAAAATGAGTATGAGATTTTTTTAAATGTAAAATCTAACATACAATAAGATGTATTTTTTCAGATCATGCAAATGTCATGCTCTCTGAATGTCTAAATGTTATATATTTCATTTTTATTTCTTCCACATTAACACATATGTATCAAAATACTTCAAATCAACAGGTGAACATTCAATATGTTTCAATACATTTAACTGTATATTGGTCATTTCACATTTTGGACTTTTTACTATTTAAAACGAAATGATTAGGGGATTAATATCCGCACAGCAGGTTGTTCAGAAATCCATAATGAGGCTGTATGATTGTCTTTTTGGCAAAGCCACCCACCCATTCGCCCTTTATCTAAGTCACAGCTCCATCAGACATGTGCCGGTCCTTTATTTGCCAGGTGTTTACATGGTATGTCGCACCATCTGCAGACATATGTAAATTTTGTATTTTAATTCTGCAACATTGGCACAGATCGAATAATAATTTGTAAAATGCTACAAGCTTTCCACGGTGTTATCTGGGACCAGAATTGTACACATGTTGCAGCTGTGCTCGCTCTAACCCCATTTAAGCTATCCTTAAATTTCAGTTGATTGTGATGCTTAATAGTCGTAACAGAAATATCTTGCAATTTTTAATCATTTTATACTTGAATGACTTGCAATTCATGATGTTATTGCTGTGTATTTTAACAAAAATAGCTTAGTATTCAAGTTTGTTATTAATCTATACCATACATCTTAAATTTAGTCATGATCAGGGCCAGTGCAAGGATTTTTGGCTACACAGGTGAAGATGCATTTTACTCCCCCCACCCCCTTTTCTCCCCTAAAAATGCATCTTCATCTGCCTGTCCCTTAATCCCCCTCTTGAATTTCTTCCCCCTTTTGTGTTTCTTATCCTCTCTTTTGAATGTCTTACCTAGTTAAAAGTATCCTATCCCTCATTTTTTTTACCTTTGTGCGTCTCTTACAACCCCTTGTGTGTCTCTCCATGTGTCTCATTCCACCCAGACCCTCTATGTATCTCATTCCACCCAGCCCATCCATGTGTCTCATTACCCTTAGCCCATCCATGTGTCTCATTTCCTCCCACCTCTCCATGTGTCTCATTCCACCCAGACCCTCTATGTATCTCATTCCCCCCAGCCCATCCATGTGTCTCATTACCCTCAGCCCATCCATGTGTCTCATTTCTCCCCAGGCCCCTCCATGTGTCTAAAACCCCTCAATAGCCCCACCATGTGTCATACTCCCTGTGCCTGCCCACCTTCCTCCTGTGTAGCATGGCTGAGCTGTGAACTGGATTAGAATATCTTCTGTTTCCTCTCCCTGGTCTGACAGGAAGCAGTTATGCTTAACCTGCGTGCGCTTCCTGTCTGATCAGGTAGAGGATTCAGAAGCTCCTCTGCCACGGTTCGAGGCTTGGCTATGCTATACATGAGTAACTGGATGGAGGGGAGCGCTGTGCAGTGCCCTTCCCTCCCGGTTGTCAAACGGATCCTGCACCTCTAGGGCCGGTGCCCCCAAAGGTGGCCGCCTGTGCCGCCTTATGGTAGCGTCGGCCCTAGGCTTTAAAAATGTTGACAAACAAGTGCTGCCATGTTATTTGGATTTCAGTCATTTTTGCTGAATTTGCAAGGCAGCCACATAGTTATTGAAACATTTTGGAGGGTTTATGTACAGTTTATGTCCAGTTTATGTCCAGGTATGTACAGTTTAAGTACAGTTTATGTACAGTTGTCTTAGAGCTGGGGCAAAAATGTAAATCTTCAGGCGCTGAACTCACAAATGTACGATAGTTGCAGCACAGAACTGAACATTTTCCCTCCCAGTATAGAATGAAACAAACAAACCATATTCCTCTAGTCTGGGCTAATTTCCTCCTACAAAAAGTCTAAATTACCTAATATTAATGGGTTAAGGCCCCCATATTAATCTTTATTATCAAATGATTCTACACTGCTCAATCACAACATTGACAAGTGAAGTAAATAGCATGGATTACATCGTTACAATGGCAGCTGTCAAGCGGTGGGATATATTACGCAGCAAGAGAACAATCAGTTCTTGAATTTTATGTGTTGGAAGCCTGAAAAATGGGCAAATAAAAAGATCTGTGATTTTGACAAGGGCCAGAAAGTTATGGCAAGGTGAGTGTGTCAGAACATCTCCAAAATGGCGATGTTCCTGGTATGTAGTGGCTACTACCTGCCAAAAGATGTGCAAGGAGTAAAAACGCGCCAGGGCCATAGTCACCCAAGGCTCATTGATGCATGTGAGGAGCGAAGGCTAGCCCGTCTGGTCCCATCACACAGAAGAGCTTCTGTAGCTTAAATTGCTGAAAAACTTGATAGAAAGTTGTGAGAACACATAGTCCTGTATATGCCAAAAATCCAATAAGGAGCACTCTCCACAGTGTATTCACAAAAACAATATTAAGGATTTGACCCTCTGTATGAGCAGCGTTTCATTGTGTAACGTTGCACATACAGATTTTCCAATTTTTCCAATTTTTCCAAATTGATCTAAAGTTTAAATTTGTCTCTCAGTTTACTCTGAATTCTAAAGTTTAGCTATTCTGGCACGATGCTTGGTGAGTTCTGGGCAATTTACATTTTATTAAATTTCTTGTAAATGTGTTTTTTAGGTAACCGCTTTTAACCAGCTGCTCCCCTGCTGTCATTGATCTTAAGCTACCATGATAAATGGGGGTTGTAGGTATGTATGCTAATAACAGATTTTTAACAAGGGAATCTCCCATCCGCTGGATATAACCCCTACTAAAAGAAAGAATTTTATTTATAATTTATGCTATATTACTTTATTACTTACTCTCTATAAAAAAAAAAAAAAATGCAGAAAAATACTAACAGGATTAAAGTGCATTATTTTGTTTTATTTCCTTAACTCCCAAAGCTGTTTTTTTTTTAAAGCTCTGCACTTAAATACATTTACAGAAATGAATGCAACATGAAGTTGATGATCTCTTTGTCAATTTAATGTCTTTACGCAATTCTGAAAATTGATAAAACCTTCAGGAATAGCTATTTGTCAATTCACAAGGTGGGGATAAATCCATAATTCTTGATTTATTTATATAGTTATGTTCTATGCTTTTCAAGACTCACTTACTATGAAGTAATATTAATCTTGGCATTTTCGCTGGGAGTGCTGCTGGTGTGTGACCTTGTCTATTAGATTACTGATGTGGCAGCCTTTATCCATTAACATGTTGGGTTAGGAAATCCATAATGTTATATTACATAGCTATTCTATTCCCTTGGACATTATATGCTCCAAAAGTCAATGTTATCTTTGATCTGTGCTAATGGGCGCAATCACAGACACCTGGGAACCTTCCTAGTTAGCAAGGAATGGCTACAGGAGGCTACATGCTGGTACTGAACATGATTTATAATATATGACCATCTGGTACGGACAATATCAAAGCACATTGTTAAGAATTAAAGGGACATTCCAAGCACCATAACCAATACAGCATATTGCAGTGGTTATGGTGTAATAAAGCTGCCCATGCAATCTTTTTTCAATTTTTGAGTTCTCATAGGCGCCAGTTTATATTGGGATGGTGCAAGATCCCCATACTTTGTGGGCTGCCATGGTACCCAAGGGACCTTAGTATATCCAGGAGGGGAACAAAAGGGGAATAGAATTTTCCTTAAAATGCAAAAAAATATACAGGAAGAAAGTAAACAATAATATCTGACTGCAAACCAGGAAATATTAGCTAGACATAATTAATAGACATAAAAATGGCCATAATGTTTAGTAAATGACTCAAGGGAATTTTAGAAGAATTAAAAATATGAAAGTGGATCTTTAAAGATAAGATTTTTGTTTATGGCTTATCCTTACAAATGCTGACAGTCTTCGCCAATATCAATCAACATACAGATGAAAAAATGAAAGTAATTGTGTCTAAAATATGTCTCCAAGACTGCCGTTGTGTAGGGGGCAAGTACTCAATTGTACATTTTTTTTAAATTTTCATATTTCCAAAGTGTGTTCTAGTGAAAGACTTGTTAACTAAAACATTATTTATATACCATTAAATAAGAAAAGACTTTCTCAAGCTGTAAGTTAAAGAGCCCAACCTACTTAGAAGCCACTAGGATTAGCTCATTGTTAGTATTGTAACTAATGTATTACTAATTTGCAGACATTTGACATTTTCAGTGAACTTCATAATTAATAGCTCGATTCAAACGCGGTTATTGAAAGCTAGTTGTTTGTTCAGTGGGGGGACGATCCTCCTTATAATACGCTCAAACTAATAAGTCAAAATTCTTGTACCTGTCAAAAGTGTTTGTTGTGAAGGTCAAACTATTTAATGTTCTATTTGAATAACATTATTAATGATGCGACGTATGTTTTGGGGAAACGTTAGTTTGCACAGG